TTAACAACTTTAAATATTTGACCTTAACAATTTTAAATATTTGTGCTTGACAACTTTAAATATTTGAGCTTTAAATATTTGAGCTTTAAATATTTGAGCTTAAAACTTTAAATTTTTGAGGTTAACAATTTTAAATATTTGAGATTAACAACTTAAATATTTGAGTTTTAAATAATTGAGCTTAACAACTTCAAATATTTGAGTTTAACAATTTTAAATATTTGTGCTTAACAACTTTAAATATTTGAGCTTAACAATTTTAAATATTTCAGCTTAACACCTCTAGCAAAATATTGCATTAGCAATCAAAAGAATGAATCCAGGGATGCCTCAACGTGGTGTAATGTTTCGCAAGCTTGTTTCGCTAGAACAATTACGACTGGGTAGTGTGTTCGATCCTCACTGGGTGCCCCATACTTTCGGCCTTGTGCCAGGTCTAAGCTACGCTTAGAAAATCACCATAAGTATGAACGCAAGTCGTTATTTAAAGGAAGTAAGGGGGTATAAATGAAAAGATTTGAAATTGACTAGAAACACCGGTTCCAGTACGATCAGCGAAGTTAAGCAACGTCGGACCTCGTCAGTACCTAGATGGGTGATCGTTTCGGAATACCAGGTGCTGTAAGCTTGGATGTGGGGATGGTGTAATGGATAATGGCCCGGAATTGTTAATCGGAGAGCCGAGTTCCAATTCCCATGGGGTTCGTTACATTCACTTACGCGCAACTTCACTTTTTTCGGTATGAGCTCGCCTCTTCTCCCCCATCTATGGGTTAAATATCACTAAGCAGTTATTATCGCAAACACATCTTATAGTCTAAAGATATTTTATGGCTCTAAATAACCTGCAATGGGTTGATAAGCCGTAAAATAGAATCAATCAATTAATGAAATGCTGATTAGCCGTACAGGCGTGTCTTTTAGATTCGTTTACATTCACGGGGAATGTATAGAAATTCACGTGACCACAAACTGAGGTATCAGTTTATATATTGATTGTAATATAGATTAATGCCCCACTTTATATCCACATTATAATTTCTAATTTGTTTATCAAATTCTGATTAGGTATAAGTCCAACACTTCTCCCCCAAGTATGGGTTAATTTGTAACAGTTGCGTCACTAACTCATTATTTCAAAAAAGAAAAAATCTTAGAATCTAACGATATTTTATGGCTTTAAATAACCTGCAAAGGGTTGATGAGCCGGAGAAAACGAAGCAATCAGACAAACATTTCAGTGAAGCAGATGTTAAACGCATGAGAGGGTTACCGTCTCCTCTTTCTTTCTTTCTTTCTTTCTTTCTTTCCTTTTTCTTTCTTTCTTTCTTGCAACCTTCCTTTCCTTTTTTATTTCTTTCTTTCACCCTAACCATATTTCTTTCTTTCTTTCTTTCTTTCTTTCTTTCTTTCTTTCTTTCTTACATCCTTCCTTTCCTCTTTTCTTTCTTTCTTTCATCCTAACCATATTTCTTTCTTTCTTTCTTTCTTTCTTTCTTTCTTTCTTTATTTCATTCTTTCTTTCTTGCATCCTTCCTTTTCTTTTTTCTTTCTTTTTTTCATCCTAACCATATTTCTTTCTTTCTTTCTTTCTTTCTTTCATTCTTTCTTTCTTGCATCCTTCCTTTTCTTTTTTCTTTCTTTTTTTCATCCTAACCATATTTCTTTCTTTCTTTCTTTCTTTCTTTTATTTCTTTCTTTCTTTTTTTTTTTTTTTTTCTTGAATCCTTCCTTTTTTCTTTTTTTTTTCTTTCTTTCTTTCAATTTTTCCATATTTCTTTCTTTTCTTTCTTTCTTTTTTCTTTCTTTCTTTTCTCTTTCTTTTTTCTTTCTTTGTTGCACCCTTCTTATCTTCATTTCTTTTCCTCCTTCGTTGCCTCATTCCCATCTTTTTATTCTTTCTTTTTCTTTCTTTCTTTTTTTTTTTTTTTTTTTCTTTCTTTCTTTCATCCTAACCATATTTCTTTCTTTCTTTCTTTCTTTCTTTCTTTTTTTTTTTTCTTTCTTGCATCCTTCCTTTTTTTTTTTTTTTCTTTCTTTCACCTTATTTCTTTTCTTTCTTTCTTTCTTTTCACCCTTTTTATTTCTTTCTTTCTTTCTTTCTTTTATCTAACCATATTTCTTTCTTTCTTTCTTTCTTTCTTTCTTTCTTTTTCCAAAAAATTTCTTTCTTACATCTTTCCTTTCCTCTTTTTTTCTTTTATCCTTTTTTTTTTTTTCTTTTTCTTTCTTTCTTTCTTTCTTTCTTTCTTTCTTTTTTCTTTCTAACCATATTTCTTTTTTTTTTCTTTCTTCCTTTCTTTCTTTCTTTTTTTTTTTCTTTTTTTTTTTCTTTCTTGCATCCTTCCTTTCCTTTTTTATTTCTTTCTTTCACCCTAACCATATTTCTTTCTTTCTTTCTTTCTTTCTTTCTTTCTTTCTTTCTTTCTTTCTTTGTTGCACCCTTCTTATCTTCATTTCTTTCCTCCTTCGTTGCCTCATTCCCATCTTTCTTTCTTTCTTTCTTTCTTTCTTTCTTCCTTTTCTTTTTTTTTTCTTTCTTTCTTTCTTTCATCCTAACCATTTTTTTCTTTCTTTCTTTCTTTCTTTCTTTCTTTCTTTCTTTCTTTCTTGCATCCTTCCTTTCCTTTTTTCTTTCTTTCTTTCACCCTAACCATATTTCTTTCTTTCTTTCTTTCTTTCTTTCTTTCTTTCTTTCTTTCTTTCTTTCATCCTAACCATATTTCTTTCTTTCTTTCTTTTTCTTTCTTATCATATTTCTTTCTTTCTTTCTTTCTTTCTTTCCTTTTTCTTTCTTTCTTTCTTTCTTTCTTTCTTTCTTTCTTTCTTACATCCTTCCTTTCCTCTTTTCTTTCTTTTATCCTAACCATATTTATTTTTTCTTTCTTTCTTTCTTTCTTTCTTTCTTTCTTTCTTTCTTTCTTTCTAACCATATTTCTTTCTTTCTTCCTTTCTTTCTTTCTTTCCTTTTTTCTTTCTTTTTTCTTTCTTTCTTGCATCCTTCCTTTCCTTTTTTATTTCTTTCTTTCACCCTAACCATATTTCTTTCTTTCTTTCTTTCTTTTCCTTCTTTCTTTCTTTCTAACCATATTTCTTTCTTTCTTTCTTTCTTTCTTTATTTCATTCTTTCTTTCTTGCATCCTTCCTTTTCTTTTTTCTTTCTTTCTTTCGTCCTAACCATATTGCTTTCTTTCTTTCTTTCCTTTTTTCTTTCTTTCTTTCTTTTTTCTTTCTTTCTTGCATCCTTCCTTTCCTTTTTTCTTTCTTTCTTTCACCCTAACCATATTTCTTTCTTTCTTTTTTTTTTTTTTCTTTCTTTCTTTCTTTCTTTTTCTTTCTTTCTTATTTTCATCCTTCTTATTTTCATTTCTCATCTTTCTTCCTTTTCGTTGCATCATTCTTTCATCTTTCACCCAGAAACAAACAGTGTCTCTGATATATCTTTTCTGTGTTTCCTCACGATCACAAAGCAATAGCTTATTATTTATGAGGCATTGGCGGGGAGTAACGGTCTTGTTAACGAACCATGGAACTAAGGAATAGACAGACTTATAACATGTTAATACAGCAATAAAAAATGTTTTATGCTAAGCTGTAATCAGAGTAAGGGTGAAAGGTGAAAGTATTATTGCTAGGTTGTCCTTGCAGTCTCGCCTGGCCTTAATGTGAACTGGCCTGTGCCACGGGTTAAATATTTTCCAAGGAGTTTCTTGCCACCACGTGATCTAATAATGTCTTCCCAGCGCCATGTCTTTCTCGATCGAGCCCGTCGCTGGGTTGAGCTGAAAGTCGTAAAGAATATTGATGTTTTATGGATGCAAGGAGGACGCGGTGAAGGTGACGAAGAAACAGTGGAAATTAGTGAGAAATTGATAGAAAGACAGAGAGAGAGAGAGAGAGAGTGGGCAGAATGAAAAAGAGAGATGCAAAGAGTAATCAAGTAAAGAATCAAAGAAAACATTAATGAGAAAAAAAGAAAGAAAGAAAGAAAGAAAAGAAAGAAAGAACGAAAGAAAGAAAAAAATGAATAGAAATCTTCAATGAAACAACGAAAAAGAAACGTTTAAAAATAAAATTAATAAGCTGAAAGAATGAATGAACGAAAGAAACAACGAAAGAAAGATAAAAATTTGATAGATAGATAGATTCAAATTCAAAGAAAGAAACGTTTAAAGAAAGTGAAGAAAAAAAAATATTTGAAGCTGAAAGAAAAAGAAAGAAAGAAAGAAAGAAAAACGAAAGAAAGAAAGAAATGAACGAAAAAAGAAAGAAAGAACGAAAGAAACAAAATAGAAATAGAAAGATTCAAATTCAAAAAAAAGAAAGTGAAGAAAAATTAATATTTGAAGATAGAATAGATAGATAGATAGATAGATAGATAGATAGATAGATAGATAGATTCAAATTCAAAGAAAGAAACGTTTAAAGAAAGTGAAGAAAAATTAATATTTGAAGCTGAAAGAAAGAAAAAAAAGAAAAGAAAAGAAAGAAAGAAAGAAAAAACGAAAGAATGAACGAAAAAAAGAAAAAACGAAAGAAGATAAAAATAGATAGATAAAATTCAAAGATAGATAGATAAGATAAATAGATGAAAGATAGATAAAAAGAATAAATTCAAATTCAAAAGAAATAAAATTTAAAGAAAGTGAAGAAAAATTAATAGATGAAGATTCAAATTCAAAAGAAACGAAAGAAAGAAAAAAATTAATATTTGAAAGAAAGAAAAGAAAGAAAAAGAAAAAAGAAAGAAAAAAGAACGAAGAAAGAAAAAATTTGAAACGAAAAAAAAAAGATAGATAGATAGATAGATAGATAGATAGATAGATAGATAGATTCAAATTCAAAGAAAGAAACGTTTAAAAGAAAGTGAAGAAAATTAAAGCTGAAAGAAAGAAAAGAAGAAAGAAATTCAAAAAGAAAGAAAACGAAAAAAAAAAAAGAAAGAAAAATTTGAAAAGATAGATTAATGAATAGAAAGATTCAAATTCAAACGAAAACGTTTAAAGAAAGAAGAAAAAAAATAAAAAAAGAAAGAAAGAATGAACGAAAGAAACAACGAAAGAAAGATAAAAATTTGATAGATAGATAGATAGATAGATAGATAGATAGATAGATTCAAATTCAAAGAAAGAAACGTTTAAAGAAAGTGAAGAAAAATTAATATTTGAAGCTGAAAGAAAGAAAGAAAGAAAGAAAGAAAGAAAGAAAGAAAGAAAGAATGAAACGTTGAAGAAAGTAAGAAAGAAAGAAATAATAGATAGATAGATGGGGGTCAAAGGGGAAAGAATTAAGTTTGAATAAGATGAAAAAGAAAAAAAAAGAATCGAAAACGATAGAAAATAAGATGAAAAAGTGTGAAGAAAAGAAAAAAGATAACATTTTGGGAAAGAAACATTCATATCTGAAGCAGGAAAGGCAGAAATATTAAAAGTTAAAGAAATTTGAAGAAAGATAGATAGATAGATAGATAGATAGATAGATAGATAGACAGAAATTTGAAGAAAGAAAAATTAGGATTTGAAGAAAGAAGAAGATATCAAAATTTGAAGAAAGGACGATAAGAAAAGAAAGAAAGAAAGAAAGAAAGAAAGAAAAAAATGAAAATGTAGGGGAAATAAAGATTCAAAAGAGCAAGAAGAAACATGAATTTGTAGGGAGAACAAAAAGGATGAAAAAGATGAGAAAGAAAGAAAGAAGGAATGAATCGAAAACTGTAGAAAATCAGCTCAAAAAGTTGAGAAGCAAAGAAAGGACGATGGGTTATCGGAAAAGAAAGTGAAAGGAAATGCGAATGAAGTTGGGGGGGGAAGAAAGATGAAAACGTCTAAGAGTAAAGAATGGTGAAATCCTGCGAAAGAAAGAAAGAAAGAAAGAAAGAAAGAAAGAAAGAAAGAAAGAAAGAAAGAAAAGATTAAAAAACAAAAACCAAAACGGGAGACATTATGAAAAATGAGAAAATGGAGGCTGAAAGACGACAGGGAGAAAAAGATTAAAAAACAAACAAACAGCAAAACAAAGATAAAAAGAAATAAAAAAAAGTACTACAAAAATGAAGAAAATGAAAAAGAAAAAGAATGGTGTAGAGATGAAAAGTTAAAAGGAAAAAAAAAGTATCTAATAAAACATTTCAAAAGCCGATATTGCGACAAATACGAAACTAAGGAAAAAAATCATTTAATATACGACGATGGCTGAATGAACGACTGACTGAATGAATGAAAGAATTTCTATACGTGGGAATAATAATAATAATAATAATAATAATAATAATAATAATAACAACAACAACAACAGTAGGATATTATCGATCGACGGTTCTTTCATTTGCTTGGTGTTCGCTGCTTTCTTTTATCCGTTCTGCAGGATTAACGACCGCTTGCCATCTGTCGAACGGAGGGGAAACGGCTATTTTTTGGTGGTGTTGGGTGAAATTCTTGAAGGAAGCCGCTTCACAAGTTGGAAGTGGATGTCGGTTAGGGTGAGTGTTGGACTGAAAGGGAATTAGTTTAATCAGGTCTGTCCTATCGCTTGGCTACCCATAACCTGTCGAGGTGAATTAAGAGAGGAAATCGGCAGAAGTCGTTGGCGGCGGTGGTCGGGGTGGCACGAGGGGTGAACTGAGGAAGCTAAGGCGTGCGGGAGGGCATCCTGATCAATGAAGGTCGATATAGAGAAAATCTTTAATTCTCTATACAAACAAAATAAGCGCGGCGGGGAAAAATGGCGACGGCGGAAAAATCGCTGAGCAAATTGTGAGGAAACAGTTTTAACGATCTGGAAATAATCTTCTTTCTTTCTTTTTTTTTTTCTTTCTTTCTTTTATATTCTTTTTCTTTTTTTCATTACGTCTTTCTTTCTTTCTGTCGTTTTTAATATCCCTTTTCTTTCTTTATTAGGCATTTCCTTCTTTCTTTTATACTATTTTGCTTTCCTCGTTGAGTCTTTCCATTTTTCTTTCTTTTATATCCTTTTTCTTTTTTTGATTCGTTCTTTCCTTTTATATTTTTTGCTTTCCTCGTTGCGTCTTTCCATTTTTCTTTCTTTTCTTTCATTCTTTTTTTTCTTTTTTTTTTCGTTTATTTCCTTTTTATATTTTTGCTTTTTTTCGTTCCTTTTTTTTCTTTTGCGTCTTTCTTTCTTTCTTTCTCTTTCTTTTTTATATCCTTTTTCTTTCTTTTTTCTAACCTTTTTCCTTTTTTTCTTTTTTATATTTTTTTTTTCCTTCTTTCTTTCTTTTTCTTTCTCATTTCGTTTTTTTTTTCTTTCTTCTATCATTTCTTTCTTTCTTTCTTTCTTTCTTTCTTTTTTTTTTTCTTTCTTCTTTTTATTTTTTTTTCTTTCTTTCTTTTCTTTTTTTCTTTCCTTCTCTCTTAGATTTCTTTCTTTCTTTTTTTGTTTGTTCGTCTTTTTTTTTTATCCTTTTTTTTCCTTTTCTTCATTCTCTCTTTTTTTCTTTTTTCTTTCTTTCTTTCTTTTGTTCGTCTTTTTACACTTATTGTCTTTTTTTATATTCTTTTTTCTTTTCTTTCTTTCCTTCTTTCTCTTCTTTCTTTTTTTCTTTTTCCTCATCACTTTGTCTTTGCTTCTCCCCAGTTTTTCTTTCTTTCTTTCTTTCATTTTCTCTTTCTCTTTCTTTTTCTTTTTTTCTTTGCTTTTTTTTTGTAACACTTTCTTTCTTTCTTTCTTTCTTTCTTTCTTTTTTCTTTCTTTCTTTTTCTTATTTTCTTTCTTTCTTTCTTCGTCTTTTTACAATTGGCATTGCTTTAATTTTTTCTTTTTTTCCTTCTCTCTTTTTTTCTTTCTTTCTTTCTTTCGTTTCGTTTTTTTTATTTCTTTAATTCTTTTCTCTTCTTTCTTTCTTTCTCTCTTTCTTTCTTTCTTTCTTTCGTTCGTTCGTCTTTTTTTATTTCTTTTTTAATTGGCGTTCACTTCGTTCCTTTTTTCTTATTGTCTTTCTCTTTCAATTGGTCTTTTTTACGCTTATTTTCTTTGCCTTGGCTTTCTTTTCTTTCTTTCTTTCTTTCTTTCTTTCTCTCTTTCTCTTTCTTTCTTTTTCTTCTTTTTTTACGCTTATTCTTTATTTTAATTGGTTCATTTTCTTTTTTTTTCCTTCTCTCTCTTTCTTTCTTTCTTTCTTTCGTTCTTTTTACTTTTGCTTATTGTCTTTTTGCTTTAATTGGCTTTTAACATTTTTATTTCTTTCTTTCTTTCTCTCTTCTTTCTTTCTTTCTCTTTCGTTTCGTCTTTTCTCTTTGCTTTAAAATTTTGTTTTTGTTTCTTTCTTTCTCTCTCTCTGTTCTCTTTTTCTTTTTTCGTTTTCGTTCGTTCGTCTTTTTACGCTTATTGTCTTTGCTTTAATTGAATTTTACATTTCCTTAAACCTTTTCTTTTTCTTTCTTTCTTTCTTTCGTTCGTTCGTCTTTTTACGCTTATTGTCTTTGCTTTAATTGGCTTGTAACACTTTCTTTCTTTCTTTCCTTCTCTCTTCTCTCTTTCTTTCTTTCGTTCTTTCGTCTTTTTACGCTTATTGTCTTTGCTTCAATTGGCTTGTAACACTTTCCTTCTTTCTTTCTTTCCTTCTCTCTCTCTTTCTCCCTTTTACTTTTTGCTTTAATTGGCTTTCTTTTCTTTTTTCGTTTGTTCTCTCTTTTTACGCTTATTGTTTTTTTCTTTAATTTAAAATGTTAAACTTTATTGTCTTTTTTTCTGCTCTTTGACTCTTTCTTTCTTTCTTCTCTCTCTCTCTCTTTCTTTCTTTCTTTCGTTCGTTCGTTCGTCTTTTTACGCTTATTGTCTTTGTTTTTATTATTCTTTTTTTTTTCTTTCTCTTTTCTTTCTTGGCTTGGAACTTTTTTCGTTTTTTTCTTTTTTGTCTTTTCTCTTGAATTCTCTCTCTTTCTCTTTCTTTTCTTTCTTTTTTCTTTTTTCATTTTCAATTGATTTATTTTTCCAATAACGTTTCCAAAACTTGTACCACAGAAAATCCTGTAGAAGTAGGTAAGAACAAAAGAAGAATTTTTTTGTTGATAACGCAAGATTTATCGCATAAGAACTTACAAAAAAAGAAAAAAGAAAAAAGAAAGTAGATAAATAAAATAAATAAATACAAATATTAAATAAATAAATAAAACCGACAAATATCGACAAAGAACAAACAAGCAAACAACAAATAAATAATGATGATGATGATGATGATGATGATGATGGCAACGACGACGACGACGATGATGATGATGAGGAAAACTGCCGCGACGACGATGATCATAACGGCCAGGACGATGACGATGATGACGACGATGATGATGATGGCAACGACCACGACGACGATGATGATGATGATTACAACGGCCGACGACGATTTAGATGACGACGGCCAGGACGACAACGATGATGACGACGATGATGATGATGATGGCAACGACGACGACGATGACGACGACGATGGTGAGGACAACATTCCAAACGACGATGATCATAACGGCCAGGACGATGACGATGATGAATTTTGACGATGATGAGGACAACGGCCACGACGACGATGATGATAACGGCCAGGACGATGACGATGATGAAGACGATGATGATGATAGCAACGACGACGACGACGACGATGATGATGATAGCAACGACGATGATGATGAGGACAACGGCCAGGACGATGACGATGATGACGACGATGATGATAATAGCAACGACGACGACGACGACGATGATGATGATAGCAACGATGAGGATGATGATGATGGCGGTGTAGGTGAACAATATGAGGAGATGAAAGAGGAAACAAGGGATAAAGCTCAACTCCTGCTCAAAAGACTAGGGAGGAGCGTGAACCGGACGAACCTATGGGCGAACCTATCTACTCCTATTGGTGGAGGGGGTGGGGATCAAATGAAATGAAATAAATAATTAGGGAATGAATTTTCAGGTTTCAGACGCAGACGTTAGGAGTACGGAGCTGAAGCAGACTTTTAGAAGGACACCCAATCCCAAACACGAAACAAGGGATAAACCTCTACTCCTGTTCAAAAGACCGGGAAAAGAAGAGTGTGAAAACCGTACGATCCACAAACACTAGAAAATGGGTCGTTAATCCTGCTGAACGGATAAAAGAAACGGCGAGCACCAAATCGAATATTATTTATTATCTGGCTGCTATGTGGCGTAGAGTGACCCGAGAGAAAGTAAAATGAGTAAATTGTGTGTTTGGGGTCAACCGTAGATCAAATATGGATCGTTATCCGACATTACTTTGAATATACGCTCTTTTAGCGCTAGAGGGCGTCGTCAGTGATGTTCTGAATTGCGTCATTGGACAGTTTCGGGTCTTTCAAACATCATACTCCCCTCACCAAATCTCCCCCCGCATCAGAGCTGATCAGTCTCTGATACACCCCGCCATCTAAATTAACAGCCTGCCGACACTGACTTATATTAGGCAAAACCCTACCCTTCTTTCACGCTTTTGATTGGATGTTGACCAACAGCCAATCGCAATGGTGTGAGCTCTATTTAAGCTGTTTAAGAGGGAATTTTTACTTTTTCTTTTTTTTTTTTGGGTACTCGTCGGACAGAATAAAGAATGAGTAAAGTGTATACAGTTTTTCTTGTATGTTTTATTATTATTATTATTATTATTATTATTATTATTATTATTATTATTATTTTCTTTGATTTCTGGCGTTTACATATTTCTTTCCGGGTCCCGCCCAGGGACCTAAGGTTAGAAATGGCATCATGACACTTTCCACTGACAAAAAAAAAAAAAAAATTACATAGATAAAGCCCTTCGTAAAGTGTGGGCTGTACTTGTCAGAACAATTTTTTGTATCTCCTTGAGGCATGGACTTCCAGGAATCCCTTCAATTAGTCTACTGCAATCTTTTCCAACCAGTCCTAGGGCTCCAACTACTTTTCGTAAGTTTCAAACACTTTCGATTTTCACTTGACATTTTTATCAATTTTCTTCCTGTCCATTCTGTTTCCTTTTCTTTCTTTTTTTTTCTCTTCGTATTAAATTTTTTTCTTTTCCATTTTCTTATTTTCTTTTCCTTTTCTTAATATTTTTTACGAGTGTCCCAAAACTCGTATAAAGTTTTTGTCCATTTGCGTCATTCTGGCTTTTCTTTCTTTTTTCTTTCTTTCTTTCTTTTTTCTTTTTCTATTTTTCATTTTTTTTCCAATTTCAATTTCTCTTTTTGTCTCTTTTTTCGTCCAAATTTTTTTTTTTTTTCCGACTTTTCTTTTTTTGTTTTTCCTTCCAACTAATATTGCACTATTTCCTTCCTTTAAAAGTCTTTTCAATTTTAAATCAGCAACAAGATTTAAATATTTTTTTTTCTTTCTTTCTTTTTTCTTTTCTTTCTTTCTTTTTCAAATTTTTCCACACCTTTTTCTTTCTTTCTTTTTGCTTTTTTTTTCCATTTTTTTTTTTCTTTTCTTTTTTTTTCTTTTTTTTCTTCTTTTCTAAATTTTATTTTCCTAAAATTCCTTTCTTTTTAAAACTCGTATAAATAACAAAATTTATTCATTTTGGCTTTATTTCTTTTTTCTTTTTTTTTTTTCTTTCTTTTTTTTTTTCAAATTTTTCTTTTTTTTCTTTTTCCTTTTCTTCCTTTTTTGTCTCTTCCTTTTTTTTTTTCCGAATTTCTTATTTCATTTCCTTCTTCCTTCCAACTAATATTGCAGTATTTCCCGCCTTTACGAGTGTCACAAAACTCGTATAAAGCCAACAAGATGGCGTCATTTCTGGCTTTCTTTCTTTCTTTCTTTCTTTCTTCAAATATTTCCAAATATTTTCTTTCCTCCTTTTTTCTTTTTTGTCTCCTTTCGGATCCAAATTTTTAATTTTTTTTTTCTTTCTTTCCTCTTCCATGAAATTTATTTCAGATTTTTTTTTCCAACCAAAGTATAATGTTTTCATTCTGGCTTTTCTTTCTTTCTTTTCAAATTCTTTCTTTCTTTTTCTTTTTCCAAACTTGACATTTTTTTCCTTTTTGTCTCCTCTTCGGATCCAAAGATTTTTTCTTTTACTTTTCTTACTTCCTTTCCATTTCTTTTCCAACTTTTTCCCGCCTTTGTTATAAAGAACAAGATTCTTTCTTTCTTTTCTTTTTTTTTTTTCAAATTTATTTCCAATTTTTTCAATTTTTTTCTTTCTTTTTTCCTTCCAACAAAGATTTTTTCCCATTTTTACTTCCTTTTTATTCTTCCAAAACTCTTATATTGTTTTCTATTTCCCGCCTTTACGATCCTTTTTAATTTCTGATAAAATTTCTTTTTCTTTTTCTTTCTTTCTTTCTTTCTTTCTTTCTTTCTTTCTTTCTTTCTTTCTTTCTTCAAATATTTCCACACCTTCTTTTTCTCCAATTTCCTTTTCTTTCTTTTTGTCTCCTCTTCGGATCCAAAGATTTTTTCTTTTCCGACTTTTCTTACTTTCTTTCCTTTCTTCTTTCCAACTGATATTGCAGTATTTCCCGCCTTTACGAGTGTCACAAAAAATCTTATAAATCATTACAAGATGGCGTCATTTCTTTATATTTATTTTTTTATTTTTTTTTCTTTCTTTCTTTCTTTCTTTCTTTCTTTTTTTTTTTTCAAATATTTTTTTAAAAATCTTTTCTCCAATTTTTTTTTTTTTTTCTATTATTCTTCGGATCCATTCATTTTTCTTTTTTTATTTTTTTATTTCTTTCCTTTCTTCCTTCCAAATAATATTGCAGTTCTTTCCCTTCCTTTACTTTAAGTCAAAAACTTTTATAAAGCCAACAAGATGGCGTCATTTCTGGCTTTAATTCTATTTCTTTCTTTTCTTTTTTCTTTTTAAAATATTTATTTCCACACTATTCTTTCTCAAATTTCTTTTTTCTTTTGTCTCCTTTTTTCCATTTTTTTTTTTTTTTTTCTTTCAAATTTTCTTTTTTTAAGCAGTTTTTTTACTCCTTTTTATAAATTAAAAAATTTTTCTTTTTTTTTCTTTATTTTCTTCTTTCTTTCTTTAATTCTTCTTCCTTTCTTTTAAATATTTTTATTTCTTTTTCTTTTCCCGGCCTTTTCTGTTGCTATTCATCCAAAATTTTTTTATTTTTTTTCTTATAAAACCTTTTTTATTTTTTTGTTTTTTTTTTTTTTTTTTTTCATTTTCTTGGCTTTTTTTTTTGCCATCTCCCCCCTTTCTCAAATTTAGCTTAATCCCAGGTGATGGCAAACGGCGGCCATCAAACATTAATCCCAGGATGCAATCGTGCAGAAAACGAATTTGACGTAACATTTGTTGGCGTCACGAAGAACCACTGAGCAAACGCAAAGCAAAGAAGCGGGGACGACTGTTGCAATGGCGGCAATTGAAAGCGCGTAAAAGAATATCCAAGAAAATAGTCGCTTTTTTTTTGAGATTTTTTTTTTCTATAGACACTGGCGTACCTCCTTCTCCAAAAAATTATTTCTCTCTCCGTTTTTACTACTTTTAATCCTTTGTTCTTTCTATAACCAAAATATGCTCGTTTATAGACAGGCGTATAAGCTGTGCGTATTTAGACACGTATGTACATATTCATAAACATTTACGCACACATACGTATAAGTAGATACACAAAAATAAGCCCACGCATATATAAAAGATGCTTCCCGAATGTTCTGGAAACTAGGAGGAATACATAGAAGAAGTACATTTCTAAAGAATCTGCAGTCCGATCCTAATATTATATATATATATATATATATATATATATATATTTAATTAAATATATTTTCAATTGGTTTTTTTATGGTTTTTTTTTTGTTTTTTTAAATGGAAAGCTAAAAAGTTTCAAATTAAATTTTTTAATTAAATTAAAAACATTAAAAAAATATTTTAAATCAGTTAATTTATAATATTTATGCTCTGTAAATTTACATTGAGCACTATTTTGTAAAAATAAAAATATCAATAAGAATAAAATATCAATATAACACCGTTTATATATCTTACTGTTCATCATATATATATATATATATATATATATATATATATATATATATATATATATATATATATAATATAATTGAACTATATATATATAATAATGGATTCTGTGTTTCTTAAATTCATTTGTTTGCCTTTTAACGTAATCTTTTTTTCTTTATACCATTTCAAACGTTCAGCTTCTTAGAGAATATTTTTGTCAGATGAATTAAAAGATCTTCTTGAAAATCTGTTCAAAAGAGAACTTTTATTTCGCGATTTGATAAGAATGCTTGAATCAGATCAAAATTTCGCCCAGAACTGTCATAACCTTTCAACTTTGGAAGAAAACCGCATGCTTAACCCTGTCATCGGCCTTCGAGATATCCAAAGCAACAGCCCGAGATTCACCAGTCTTATCTAAAGCTCTCTCATCAATAGACGTTCACATACCAGCAGTTAACCTAGAGAAGCGAAAGCCATATTGGTTATCTAAATGAAAACACTGCGAGGTTAGATGCTTAACCAATTCAGAGTCGATTGGAGCATCTAGTTATTTGCACCCCCAACAAAAAAAAGAAAAAGAAGTAGAAGGCGAATAGGCTGAAGGTTAGAAGGATCAGACACATACAATTATTAAAGACACTATTACACAACGGCCAGTACTTACGAGAACTAAACTTGTTAGCAACTATACGATACTTCATTTTGTCAGCAAACCAAGATTTAGCCTCTTTGAGGGCACCTTTACAAATATGACAAGCAGGCACTGATCACATTGGTATAGCCCGAAAGAGTGATTCCTGTTGGCTATAGCGGCTGAGCAGACAGGTTTGAACTAAGGAGTTTGGGGCTTTGCCCGGTAATTGGAGTAATGGATAGCGGCTCCGATTGAGGAATCGGAGAGCTGAGTTCGAATTCCAGTCAAATCCATTACATTCACTTACGTATAAATAAAAAACATGGGAAAGATATTAATCTTCTTCTCCCTCCAGCTATGGGTAAATAGTAACACAGACCGAGTTCTATATCCTTGGCTGGCAACTGGTCTACCAACTGGTCTATATATATATATATTAAGAAATGGACAAAGTCCGACAATTTATTTATTAAAGACATTTTTATGTTTAAAGTTGTTTTTTATAGATACAAGTATTTAAGTAAATGCTCTGTTTATGATAAACAGTATTAAATAACATTTACCGGCCTGAATGTCCGAGAAATTTTCGTAGAAAATATTCGTCCTTTGACAGGATTCGAACCTGCATCCTATACGGAACCGTCATTTACGCTGACGTGCCTTAATACTGTTTATCATGAACAGAGCATTTACTTAAATACTTGTATCTATGAAAAACAACGTTAAACATAAAAATGTCTTTAATAAATAAATTGTCGGACTTTGTCCATTTCTTAATATATGACGTCATTTGTTTACATTTGATACGCCAGAGCAGTTATGAATGTACGAGATTCATGGAAGATTGAAGTTTATAAGCAGTAAATTCGAACTTGTCTACCGAACGCTCCTTTGTGGCCGATCGGATAAGGCACGTCAGCGTAAATGACGGTTCCGTATAGGATGCAGGTTCGAATCCTGTCAAAGGACGAATATTTTCTAGGAAAATTTCTCGGACATTCAGGCCGGTAAATGTTATTTAATACTGTTTATCATAAACAGAGCATTTACTTAAATACTTGTATCTATAAAAAACAACGTTAAACATAAAAATGTCTTTAATAAATATATATATATATATATATATAAAAATATATAATAAAAAGACAAACACTAATATTCCATGGTCATAATTTATTACATTGGAATTCAGCAGACCTACAAATTCAAAAAAAAAAAAATCAGAAAAAATAACTCCGGGAATAAAAACTAAAATTTAGTGAGAGTGTAGGCATTAGAGTGGGGGACGAATGTGAGAGGTAAATTAAAGCCCTAGAGAGGGGTAACAGACGAGAGAAGAACAGGAAGGCCTAAAAGTGAAGGTGGGGATTAAAATTTAACGGAGGGAAGTTTTAAAGTGTAGATTTAAATGACAGTTTAAATGAGTGAGATACAGATAAATATGAATTATTTTCCGATGCATAATTCATTACTGAATCGCTGACCTAAATTAAATTAAAAACCGACACCGGAAACGGGTGTATACATTTGTGGTGACACTACGCACAATAAAAAACGATATAATCTAAACTTAAAAATCAGAAGATGAGAGAGAGAGAGAGAGAGAGAAAAGAAAAGAAAAAAGGAAAGAAAAAAGAGGGAAGATGGGGCAACTAAAACCGAAGGGCATTTATAAACTGCTTAATATTACAAGGACATACGGAAAGGTACCAATATAATCAGTACGAAAATCATTTATTAAATATTAACTATATGACAGAAATGAAGCACGGAGAGAAAGGTTTTATGTTCGGAACTTTCGGACACGCCCGTGTCCTTTATCAACGGACCGAGGAACAAACAGAGAAATGGGAATGACTCACCGACAAATGTTTTTATAGATGCGGTA